ATAGTCACCGAGTGCTCGTGTGGAATTCGCAGGAAATCCGACACAACACACGAGCCGCAGAAAATCCAGGTCTCGCCTGACTCTCATTCTGGAGAGGATAGCTAGGGCTATCGTAGCATGGAAGAAAATCAATACAATCCTATTGATTTGCGGAAGAGTATTAGAAAAAAATGCCAAATTTATCACAAACTTTCGTATCAAGGCTAGATATAAAACATAAACTAAATATTTTTTATCATTCGATAGCCCATTTAATTATCTACAACCGATATAAGATTAGCGTTTTTAAAGAATGCGTCCTGTGTTGGTTATTATGATAATGCCAATGTCCATTTGAATGGCCATGGGACTTTAAAGGGTTAAGTTGGAGAAATTGTGAAGTATTGCAGCGCTTAATACTTTTTGAGATACTTCCAAAGGATATGCTTCCAAAAGGATTTACATCCAGTCATATAGATAACTCTGACTTCAAGGAATCCATTGATGTATTATGAGTGTCAGTTATCCTCACTTTTGATCAAGTTATAGGCAGAATAAATCTCGCAGGACATTTTTGATGTAAAATGCGCTTTTCTCAGGAACGAAGAGTTTCCGAAAGCTCGTTTTTTATCACATACTAATCGTCTACGAAGGAAAAAAGGGTAAAATTTTGACCTCAAATGGATCACTCATCATCGAGTTATAGGCAAAACAATTTTTTAAATCTCGCAGGACATTTTGTGTGAAAATAACATTGTATAGCGTATTCAGGCATGGTTTTTATTGAGATATAAAGACTTAGAAAAAACCTTTTTAGCCAAATGCAGAGCTCTATTTTTCTGCCTGTCTGAAAAAAATTTTAAATCGTTTGTGTCGTATGGAGGCCTTCCTGAAGTCTCGCATGACAAAATTTTGAAAAGTGTCTGTGACAGGAGTTTTTTCTCGAGCTTTTATGAAGGACTTAGTTTTACTCGAAATCAAAGTACATAATTTGAAAGCCCTGTTTTCAGACTACAAATTTCATTAAAGTATAATTCAGTAATCTATGAATAGGATGGAGGAAAACCCCGTTTCTTTCGAGAGACGGCGCCAAAATCACTCTGTTTGGTCCTTGTTTCGTTCATATCTCGACAACCAAATGAGATAGAAACTTTTTTTTTTCGGTACTGAATAACCATCTTTAAACAAACAAACCCAAAAGAACTTATTAAGTTTTATTTCGTAGAACGACTTTTGTAAGCAAAACAATCGATGGACAGCAACGGTACAATGCCAATGCAGTTCACTCATATAATCTGCACTATAAAAAGGTTGTGAAATCTTCAAGTTCGTTACGGACGTAACGTTCGACTGAACAGCTTTCATATTGTCTGAACGGTACCGTAAGAGCTATGAATTTTGGCGGACTGTTCGTACAGTACAGTACTACGGATTATCCTATAGAATATAAAAGATAAAAATAAAAATAAAGAAAAATATTACTTAACCAATCCAAAAACTATTCAAGATTTAGACAGATATCGAAAATCGCTGAGCGTTTTCCATAATTCTAGAAAATCGAACTGGAAATTCGACCTGGAATTTCAAGAATCTTGAGAATTATTTATAGAAAATCGATCGATTTGCCAACATTTTAGAAATTTGATATGGAATTTCCAAGTTTCTTGAAAATTGGATTTTCTAGAATACAGAAAATCCTTAAAGAATTTATATATGGACTTTTTGAATATTGCCGAGCATTTTCTATAAATAATTCCCACCATTACAGTGTAGCTGTTCATGGTTACTGAAGAACAGTTATATTTCGACTGACGTCCCGGAAAATGAGGTCGTTTACAAAATAAATTCACAATCCATTCGAGGATCATCATTAGCTAGGTGTAAAAAATTGTCTCGACCGTTCCATGATATAATTACGGCATTTGGGGACACGTTGGCGCAGATATTCTATTTTAACTCTGAAAATTTCGGGAAAAAAAACCTTGTTTTAGTCTAAAATATATAAAGATGTCTTCTTTGAAGCTGGCTGATATTTCTTCTAGAATGAGTCATTCACATGTAAAAGTGGGCGTTGGATACTCGCCTGCTCACAAGCGTGTTCACAAACTATTTTCGGCTACAATCGTAAACAAAACGTCACAACCAGTCACAGGTACAGTCTTGTATACTTGTGACAATTCTGGTACGTGTCAAGATCAAACATTGCGTGGTATACTAAATGCAAATGGTGGAGAATTGCGTGCGAATATAGTACCATGTACACATGAAGGTGCTGCTGTTAATAAAGCAATAAAACAAATTGAGATTGAAAAACAAGATTCAACAAAAATGGTATTGTCTGCACCATTTCAAGATGGTCCGACGGATGAAAATTGGGTATTCGAAGTAAACGACAATCAAATTAGCACAATTCCAAGTACCCAATGATTTCCCAAGCACGAAAAGATGATCTAGATAGGCCTATTAAGAAGACTATCAAAACAAACAGTTATCGTAGATAAGATTTATCTTGATCGGCCTATAAATTGGTCTATGCATATCACTGCTGAATAAATCTCCGACGCATAGCTCTCTAACAGGATGGGAAGCTGGATTTGGATCGATGGATCGATCGATAGACCAATTTATAGGCCGATTACGACAAATTTTAACTATGATATTATTCAGTCATATCTTAGTTGCTTAATCTTAATGCTTAATAAGATCTTTTTCAGACATTGTATTTTGATAAAAATTTAATAGATTTTTTGGCAATAAAAGTACAACAAAATCCTTTCGATGTAAGGCGTATCTGGATTAAGAGCCGGTAGACTCAGACAGACAGTGATTGTTGATGTCACAGATTTAAATGCTATTCATACCAGTTGGAGGTCTATATGTAACTGGATAATCATTTAAATAGCGTCACTTAAAACTGCTTCGTTCTCCAGGTATAGAGAACGCAAGAGCTGGCACCACAAATCGATCATTCTCATTACGTTTAGAATTAAGTTTTTTCATCTATACAAACCAGCTTTAAAAACTATCTTTTAATATGAATTTATGCTACAGAACATGGGCTATCCTTGTCGCCCCTTCATAGATTTTAGAACCGCTCCGGCGAAATAGCATTCTTGGTTTCAACGGGAGACCCAATAACCCGATTTTCTCTGTGCGGAAAAATGTGTATGGCTCAAGCTTTATAGCACAATGTAGGCCACACCCGGATATATTTAGACAGTAGATTCTGGTTTCCGGCCTATTCTTTTCCTAGAATATTTCTCAAAAACCGGTTTTTCAGAAAACCCCGATCTCTCTGGAACACTTTTTCGCCCTCTCCAGGTTGTAGCCCGTAAAATTCTGAGCAAAATGAGGCATCTTCCAGCTTTGTGCGTGTTTTATTGAATGAGATGAGAATTTCACAAGACCCTATATTCCTATATTACACAAATTATCTCTTTGTCTGAAAATGAATTCTACTTTGAACTTGTTGACGGAGTACAAACAGATTTTCAGATAGCCTGTTCTATAGCCCGTGAAATTCTCATCTCATTCAATAAAACACGCACAAAGCTGGAAGATGCCTCATTTTGCTCAGAATTTTACGGGCTACAACNGAGATAGTGCTTGATTTATTTACTGAGTTTTGAAATTGAACTTTAAGAGAGTAGTGACGCATAAATTAATGCTAATTAGAGCTAATTAGTTAATAACAGAAAGCAAAAAACAAACTTTTCTTCCTGTTTCTCTCAATAAGTATTGTCCGTACATTTCTCTATTGGTCTTCGCAAGAAACAAGTGTATATAATGAAAGAGGAAGCGTCACGAATTCTTTAAAACGGCGCCCCGCTTTGAATTCGGTCGGGATTTTCTGAAAAACCGGTTTTTGAGAAATATTCTAGGAAAAGAATAGGCCGGAAACCAGAATCTACTGTCTAAATATATCCGGGTGTGGCCT